TGCGTATTTAGAATTAATTTTCACCTCTCTTAAATAACGCAAACAATACAGTTGTGTTTTGGATAAGGGGAGATTTACTAAAGCTCTGTGACAACTTTCAATGCATTCGACATGCAGTTTTAAAGAAAGTATATTAGAATAAGTGTTAATTCTGTTAGAAGGTGAGTTAGGCCTACTTTTGAAAATCGCAGAGTTCATGTACGTGTTATCCTTTCGTTCACTAGCTAGGAAATCTCTTGAAGAATTTTTCTTTTTTAAAACTTTGACAGAAAAGTCTATATATTGATTGCTACTGTGCCTAAAAACTCAACTTGTACCGACTAACAAAAACTGAGACAAAAGGAACAAAATATGGTTCCATTGTAGTGAAATATTCCCGTCGAATTGAATCAAGACATACAGTGACATACGTTCAGTGGTGCTGTCAATACTTTGGTTAATGCACTTTGATCGGAGTATTGATGAAACCTACCCATCGATATATTAGTTGCTTCTGTGCAGAAAATGTCTTGTAGCTGTCTTTCCTGTGAATTCATTCTTTCTTATTGCAATTGTTGTTAGAGATACAAGAATCAATGCAAAGTTTATAAATATGTGACAGCATTTACTGGCCAGTTTTAGTTAAATAGTTATGAACTATTATTTTACAACTCTGATTGAAGTTTCACGTGTTAAATATTGACATACATAAAAAAGATGAACCATCTAAGCTTTGAGGTTACTAAATTGGTGAATTAAAACTTTATTACATAAAAGTAACATATACACTTTATTTATTGAGGCTGTAAGATTCAAGCACGCCTTGCATTCTATAGCTTCAAAATCTATTTGTACATTTGTAGAAGCAAATATTTTGCTCTTGTTATAACAGATATTTTTATCCAGTGAGAGGTTGCCAGTGAATCACTCGCATCAAGTTAGCGATAACGTAATTGTTCCAACACATTCACTAATGTAACATAAGTATTAATGTAAAGCAAAAGAAACCAATACAATGATGAAAGGAGCTTTAGTTTGACCTTAATAAGTGTTATGAAAGGAAATTACTTACTTCCAGCAGCGGGAAAATCATTTCAATGGTAGAAATGATGCGTTGAAAAACTTTAAATTAGTTCCAATAGAAGCTTTATCATGCCATGCTCAACATGAGAACTTTTAAAGCTATATATATATATATATATATATACATATATTGATGGTTACATTTTTTAATTATATCTTCGCGTAATATAAATTGTAGCCTGACATCAGCACGTGTTTAAAATGAATACCCGAAACTTCTCTCTATTAAATCTTGGTGGTGTTCTTTAACCTATGCTGTGAATTCAGTCTTTTATGGGCAATTTTGTTTTTCTTGGCGTTTTCAAATAAAACTATTAATTGGTTAATGTAATAGGTTTATGATTTTTATTTTGTGTCTCAATTTATCTATAAAACGTAAATGTTACCTAGGTTTGTTGTAAATTACAATACTCATCGAATACCCCGTCCATCTCTCATGCCCATCGATCTAAATAGATCAATCATTAGCCTACTAGGTACTTTATGTACATAACTGTTCGAATTGATCTATTTTATTTACTGATCGTACATTATTGGAGAAACGTATTTGGCTATTGCTTGATAAATAATCTGATTA